TCTCTCTCTCTCTCTCTCTCTCTCTCATCCTCTATCCGAGCAGGCTACTGGAGAGCTGCGCTGCCTCACATGGACCCAAGACTTTAACATCGCATCAAGACTCTCAGCTGTTGTTCCCTCTTGGAAAGACAAAAGAGAAGTTTGATCAGGTGGAGCAAAACGCCAAATATCTCTTCAGGAGGATCTTGCGTATGTGTGTTAGTAAAAGAACGAAGAGAGCAGCTGGTTTGAGGAGCGCAGACGAGTGCCATCCTACGAGTTCTTTGCAAAAGACTTCTTAAGAGGAATAATGAGGGACATTTGGATATTCCTGACACTTTCAGCAGCTGTCTGCTTGTCCAGCGACAAGGTGAGTTTGAGCAGAGTTCATGTTATTTCCGCAAATTGTTGATTGACTACATTACATGAAACACACCGCGTAGTGTTGTAATGATGGACACATATGTTGTGTAATGCATATTATCCTTATTTTATACATTTTAATCACTCTTAACGTAAATCTTTTGATTCAGCAAGTGTGACGCTTGGTCCTGGCAAGATCTGTAAAGCCCATCATGATCATATCATATAGGCCTATTAGATGCTCATCATTTTACAGGGATGCCCAAACTTCTGGAAGAATTTTTTTTTTAAGAGATCCCTGAGAAAGTTACAAAATACTTCAAAGAGCGCTGAACCGTTGAGGAGAACTCTGGGAGTTTTTGTTTTCGCAAAGAATTTCAATTCCTCCTTATCCGAGTTTGTTCTTATCCGTAGGACTCACTGTTCTGTGTGCGAATTAGACTGCAAAGCAACGCTGTACATCGATTCCCAATAGCAACACTGCTTTCAAAGTGCTGTCAAGCAATTTGCAGGTTGCTTCAAGACGCAGATTTGTATGTTATTCACCTTTAGCTTTCAACTGTGATGAAGCCCATCACAAAGAAGCAATATCAAGCCATCACAGTGTAATTTTCCAGGAAGACATTTAGAGGTTGTTAAAAGCCTTTGTGCTGTCTGTGCTGGTACCTTGTTTATTGATTTGTTGTGCAAGTGTAGCAACATGCCCTCATGTTTTCAGTACATCCTGAAATAATTTCTTTCTCTCTCATTTTAAAGCCTTGGCGATGGTTTTACAAACTCTTTGCTTTGACCGTGAGTTCAAACAAGTCGGACCATCTGCAGTTTTATCAGTGCTAATCATTCATGGTGAATAAATATGCTCAAGCATATTTAAGTATTAGCCAATCTGTTTCTAACGGTGACATCTTATTTCTGTATTCTAGAGTAGTATAGGAAAATGAATGCTTCACTTCAATGTGTTTTCATTGAAATGAGAAGTTAAAAGGTTGATAGGTTATTTCATGATTCTTATTAGAGGTAATGAAATTAATATGAAAACGATCATTTAATGTTTCATTTCTTTTCATTCAATTTTGAATGTATTTCGGGTTTCAATTCCTTAATAGTGAGCATTCTCATAATGGGAAGCCTCAAAGTCACAAATTGCACCAATTACCATTAAATAATCATATTAACCGGTGTAATATTAAGTGACTAAGTGTTGATAACAGATTATGTGTGAGTGGCCTTTCTTGTTGTGCTGTTCCACAAAATAATGTCATCGTAACATGATGTAACCAAACATAAACTGAATCCATTACCAAGACAACATTATGACAGACGTATGACTGTGCTGATGCCTCATTCATGGCCGTAAACAGACTCCCACTCAGAACACCTGTGTGCACTTCTAGTAAAGCCAGTATCTGAACAATATTTGTGTGCTGACAGCATATACAATCACGGGCAGAGGAAGTCGTGAAACAAGGATCTTGTCAAACTGTGTGTGTGTGTGTATGGAAACCGTAACAGAATGGAATCTAATGAAGTCTGATCTGAATTTCTGAGCACCACAATTAGCTTAGCAAATGGAAAATTTTTTTGAAAAGCAGACGGCTGTGAGCTTTGCATTGGATTGAGAGAAAAAGTCTCTCTCTCTCAATTCAATTTCAATTCAATTCAATTCAATTAAAAATTGCTTTATTGGCATGACTGTAAATGATACAATATTGCCAAAGCTTAGTATACATGTACAAAAAGAAAAAAAAATAATATATAATAACAATAATAATAATTAAATGAACATCACAGTAATAGAATGGAATATTATAACAACTTAGATGTATTAAACTGTAACAAATTATAACGTGTGAACATTTGATACCACTCTCTCCCTCTCTCTCTCTCTCTATCTATCTGTCTGTCTGTCTGTCCAGCCTTGTTTATGCATTTTTAGTAGTGAATCCTGCAACAGGCAAACATTACAGTGAAAAGAATACATAGCTTGGGGAGGGACAAGTGAGAAAACAGAGAGAGAGAGAGAGAGGGGAAACTTTGTGCAGAGGTGGTGGGCTGAGTGGTCTGATAGTGTGAATAACACGTAGCAGTTAAACCCCACAGTGCAAACTACTAAATAACCCTTAATCAACCTAAGAGAGTTCAGTTTAGAGTTTACACCAGCGTTCTGGGCTCTTTGATTTAGGCTAATTTTAATTATAGTCAATTTACTTCACTTTTAACTTTAATTATAGCGTATATGAATATATGAATAGGTTACCAGTGCAAAAGCTGTAATAGTTGATAATTGCACTTTTTGGAACGTTATTCTGTCACAATGTCGTGACATATTAAAACCAAAAGAGCGTTATAGGAAATGTGCCAACAGTCCAAGTGCTGTTTATCAATACTGAAGACCAATTTAGCATCTGAAAAGAGCAGCGTGTCTGCCAGAGGCATGTGGTATTCTCATCTGTTGTGGGTGTGCTTTCAGAAACACATCTGTATTTACTGTGTACAGACTTTTTTTTGCATAGGAGAAATGTAACACTGGGTAAATTTGCTGTCTGCACATGTCTGTCCACAGATTTATGTGGGTTCCACTCGCAGTTCTAAATCTGGAGCGTTGTCAATCAGTGCTGTGTAGGTGTGTTAGTTTGCAATTTCTAAAAGTATTTCTCGTCTGTGCAGCCAAAGACAGAACAGTTAGCATGTTTTGCTCGAACTTTCCCCATGGCATTAGAGCTGGTACACGGTTGTCGCCTGTCAAATCAAAATGATGGCGCTGTTAGTGGAAGTTTACAGATTAAGAGGCACCTGATTATAGCACTTAAAACCTAGAAAAGTCAGATTTTCATGATATGTCTCCTTTAAGGCCATACGGTTTTAAGAATTACGCTTGTATCAGCAGCAATGAGGCAGTGGAACGCCTGTCAGTTGGTCCGGATGAAGGTGAATGTTTTTTGTGCCTGTATTTGAGCTCATCTGATAAAAACAGGGAGGATATTGTCCTGAAGTGATTAATGGTCCCATAGGTGTTTCTCTCCATGGCATGCCAGTGAGTTGACATAGCAGAGCCTGCATACCGCAGACAGATTAGGCCACTGTCTACAGTACTTTAGAGGAATGCGTCGACGTGAGAGTCCCCAGCCCTGCGTAAATCCCATAGATGGATGTGCTTCTTTTGTCCAGAATGCAGAAACATCCATGCCAGATGTTTTATGCACAAGATGCAGATGTCCCTGTGCTCTCTCTGTGGGAGTAGCTTGTGTTTCGGGAAATACTAGCGGCGAAAGCCGTAAACAGAGGAAGTGTGAGAACAGCTGGGTTATGGGGTATTTAGCTATTTGCTCATGCATCCCTCTGTGTACTTTTTGTGCTAAATTCAATTATGTAATCAAAACTTATGTGTAATTGTAATGTGTCAATGGCAAATAAATGGGAAAATCTTTTAAAAAGTTAGCGCAGAAATAAAATATACTTGTGTACATGTTGGATGTGTATATACAGTATATATATATATATATATATATTTGGGGAGTTGGACTACGCATGACATGATATCTGATATTTTAAGAGGTTTATTAACTATAACACAAAAAATTCCAATTACCCAAAAGACCCTGAAAGACAAACTGTGTTTGTTTTTTTAAAGCTTAATGATCAGATACGCACTGCATAGCAAAAGATGCATCATCAATTTATAACAGCTGTTAAGGACTGTTAATGTGCATATTATCATATATTTCAAGCTATGTTTGGAAATCTCTTATCTGAACAGAGGAATCTTTAAAATCTGCCTCCTTTAGATTGCCAGCAACATCCTTAATGAGCATCACTGTGAAAAAAACACAAAACATTTGCAACCCGTTTCACTTGTGTTATGTCATGCTTTTTAAGTGAAATTGCATATTCAATAAAAAAATGTAGGGTTTTTTGATTTGATTCTGAAAGATGGACATTCCATACCAGAAAGGAACATTTGTGCATTTGCTCAAACAAAGCCAAAACATCTATTTGGTTATAGGTAAGCATTATCAAATGGTATATGCGACCAGATGATGTCAGCGGTAAAGGAAAGTTGTTTCAGAGGAGAAGCAAGTTGTTACATTTTGATAAAAGATTATAAAAACAAAAGTTCACAAAGGTCACAATAAGACCATGAACCTGCATTAAGAAAGCAAATATGTGACCCTGGACCACAAAACCAGTCATAAGGTTAAATTTTTTGAAATTGAGTTTTATACATCATCTGAAAGCTAAATAAATAAGCTTTCCATTGATGTATAGTTTGTTAGGATCGGACAATATTTGGCCGAGATACGATTATTTGAAAATCTGGAATCTGAGGGTGCAAAAAAATCTAAATATTGAGAAAATCGCCTTTAAAGTTGTTCGAATTAAGTCCTTAGCAATGCATATTACTAAACAAAAATTAAGTTTTGATATATTTACGGTAGGAAATTTACAAAATATCTTCATGGAACATGATCTTTACTTAATATCCTAATGATTTTTGGCATAAAAGAAAAATCGATAATTTTGACCCATACAATGTTTTTTTGGCTATTGCTAAAAATATACCCAAGCGACTTAAGACTGGTTTTGTGGTCCAGGGTCACATATGGTCAGTTTTGGCTTCATTGTGTTTTAGACCTTTTCTTTTTTGAGCATCATTCATCTGGAGACATTTTAACATGTCAAATCCACATAGTGAGAATCTGATCACACATAATTTCAGCCTCTGAAGGAACTTTGGGAAATATTTAACATATGGTACAACCACAGAGTAAGTCTAAAATTGGTAGACCATAGGCCTCTAGGTTCTGTGATGTTTCGCAATCACTTTTTTGCCTTTAGATTTGTTTTGGTGAATCTTATTTAGCTGACGGAGGGCATGACCACGCAAAGATACCCTAGATAGTGAGGCTTTCATGTGGCCGATCAGAGTTTAAGCTGACATATCATATCATAGTGCATGACCTGATTTAATTTTTTTCCCTCCACCTATCTCTCACTTCCTCACCCTCC